CAACTGAGTTCTTTTTCAACCAGGCGTCTGGTAGAGGTGCGAGACTCTCGGTCAGAACTGGGCAAAGCAACTTAAAAAAAACGTAGTTTTTGACCGAATGTCCTTTATGGATGATGCCTAAGTTTAATCTTCGCAAGATCACGAATGAAAAAATATTAATATTGTTGAACAATCAAATATACATAAGCATCCTACAAGTGTTACAATTATTCAAACACAAAGTATGTTCTCCCCGAGTAGAGCTTCCCAAATCGACACCCATAGTCGTTTCATCGCATATCTTAACGTTTCGATAATATACATGTAATAACCATTCAATCAAATAAAATTATCAATTTAACCGTCACTCTACTTTCTGCACGCAGTAATCTCTTATCCAAAAATCAAAGCACCTATGAATTTTATTAGTAATAAAATTCTTCGACTATCTGTCTTTTATCGCTTTCTCCTACTAAATCGTTGGATTTTTTTTGAACAAAGAACCGCTGATAATATTTTATAGACTGTTCCTTAACCCAATCAATATCAAACGCTACTATCGCTAAATAATTAACTTCGCAACCATAAATAATAAATGTTATTTCATAATTTCTCTTACAAAAAAAATAAAATGACTACTCATTTCAATGAACAATGCACTCGGTTGTCAGTTGAATAACTTCACAACAAAAGCAGCTAGAGACTTGTAGTTTGCAGCGTTCGAAAGAGAATAATATTTTATATATATATAGAAATGTCAAATCTGATTGGTCAACAATTGATCAATCAGGAGAATTCTTGATGGACATTCACCATTCGATTTGGGGTTTTGACATGATCATTCGATAGAGAAAATTTGTCTTGTTTGATTTTCAGTATTTTTCTGTTTTGATCTTTTGCTGGTTTTTCCGCAATATGTCTCTTACTATTTTTTGGGTGATTGAATTGTTTCATTTTTGTCACCTGCTTTCGATGTCCGTGATTGGATGATTATACTTAGGTTTTTATTAGTTTTTTGTTATGGCAAAGTGGAAAGGATGGTTTGTTGCTTCATTTTTTTTTTGCATTATATATGGATTATGTAAGTGTGTTTCGGGTTTATGGCAGCCTATTTCGACTGTTATAAATACCTGCTCGTAGATTTGATTTGAGAAAACTTTTTTTTCTTTTCGGATATTATCGTGTTCAGGGTTCCCAATTAGGAGGGGAGAGACTTTCCTCCTCCTGCCAAAAACAATTTCAAACATTCTGCCATAAGCTTTGGTAATCCTTTCTGCAAAATTTTTGAAGTTCAGTTCAGCAGAAAACTCCTGCTTTTGCTGGAGCAAACTAAAACTAAAGATGCTTTCTATCAAATTTCGCGCACAAAGTCGATTTCATTCCCGCTGTTATGTGTCATCATCCTCTAGTAAGTGATATATACTCATGTATGCATATGAAACAGTGATGAAAACTAAGTATTCGAATATTTTTACTTCTTTGCTTCAAAAAAAAATGATATTGAAAAACTTTTATATTGAGTAAGTTATGCTTACTAGTCTTAGACTTCCTGCCAAATTTTTAGCCCCTCTCCACCTCACTCTCAAAAACAATGGGAAACCATGGTTATGTATGCAAGCGAGGTCGAAGAATATCACCGTCGGATTTCATCAATTCCTAGCAAAATTGCAGTATGGAATTCCTGTCAAATCCGACTGTGGGATCCAGTCACTTTGCAACACTACGAGGGGTGTGGCTGTCGGTGTGTGGGTGTGGGTGTGACTCGATATAACACAGACACCCACACCCTTATTTTGAATAGAAGACGAAATTTCTCGTTTTGTTTTGAGAATAAAACTATCCGATCAAGATTTATACGATGATTATTACAAAGAAAAAGAAAAACTATAATGAATCACAAACATAATAGAATTACAAAAGGTAGAGATGTAAACAAGTTCAAACTCTGTAGTAAAATACAATTTGATAGCAAAATCAATTCTAAAAAAAACTAATCATTAATATATTTATAATCGATAAGTTTTAATGGCATTGTATTTAAATATTAATTCAATTTCATCTTTTGATAATCCAGCACCATTTTCTGCAATATCTCGATAAACATTAACAAGTTCTTCATATGTTATATTTAATTTATCCACTGGAAAATTCGATCCAAACATACAACGTTTTGGTGTAAATAGGCGTAGACATTCAAGAATATATGGTGCAAAAATTTCTTTTGACCATGCATGATTAAACATAACTAATCCACTTAATTTACAAATAACATTTGATTGTTCAGCCATATGTCTCATACCTTCTTTCCAACTATTAAAATCATTTTTACCATCAACAGGTAAGCCACAATGATCAAGAATAAGTATTGCATTTGGATATTGTCGAGCTACTTTCGATGCATCAATCATTTGCGATGGATATACGTGAAAATCAAATGATAATGAATATGATGTAAGTAATTGAAAACCTTCAAGCCATGTTTTATCAGTTAAATAATCGCTTCGATCAGTCATTGATAAACGAGAATCTTTTGTTGACCAATTAAGCAATTGACGAATACCTTTAACGTGTGGATGATCGTGTGTATAAGTTTCAAGTAATTTTGGTAATTCTGATGATGCTAAGTTAGCATGTGCAACAATGCCATGTGGAAATCCATCAGAATTTTCATTAGAAATTTGTTCAAGAAACTTAACTTCTTCTATTGGATCATCCGCTTCAGCTTGAACATGAACAGATTTAATTAAATGACATGAAGCATTTGTTGCATCACGAAGATAATCATCAAGAAGATAATTTTGTTTTAAACATTCAATATCACCAGCAACATGCCATGATGCGCCACCTTCGGAAACAGGTCTAAGCCATTTATATTTCGTAGGATTCGTTGGTGACAACGACCAAAGATGATGATGACTATCAACAACTTCAATGGCCATACGTTTTCTATTGATAAAAGAATATGTTACCTATGCTTTACTTTTTCATAAGAATGACACTTCAAATCTGAAAACGATAATAAATTATTCAAATATTGCATCGTTAGTTGGTTCAACAATTTTTTTCTGTATTAATGATTATTATTATAAATAATATACTCGGATAATTCTTCAAAGGTAATAAAATCCACGAGAAAATAGTAGAGATTTCAGTCTTGAAGTCTGTTGTTCTTTTCTTGAATAAAATAGTATGAGAACTTCATATTAAGCAAGTGATTGTCTCTGATGATATTCGTTTTATCAAATATGTGATTACATAGAGAAATTAATTTTTTTAGATGCTAAATGCAATGTTCAAGATTTCAATTTCTATTCATTCTTTTCATAAATATTTGCTTTGTAATATTATCTTGCTGTTATTTAATACACGAGTAGAATTTTGATTATACTAAAATTTCATTACTAATACATTGGTTTCAAAATGTTTGATCGATGAGAATCTTTTATATTGCTTGGTATTTCATAACGATGAAAGTAAATATATATTCTTGTTTATCATCGAGTTAGCTGTTAGATGTTGGAATATAGTTTATCGATTGCTCTTTGATAGAACTATCACATTTAGAAGTGTAAATAGATCGGATAAGTCTCCACCAATATTCTAGCGATCTAGCCATATCAGCGAGGCGTAAAATATATACTAGAGTTTTGAAGATTTTCAACATCGTGTGCTAGTTTTGAAGAATGTCCTCTATCATCATTTTCTTACTTTTTCATTTTTGAATTTTTTGGAAAGAAGAAAATCTTTAAAACTTCCAGTCATCGCTGCCGGAATGTTCAATATTTTTAGCGGTTGATGGCGACAAAGAAAATAAATTACAATCAATTCAGCCACCGACGACGATTAATGTATCGACTTACACCTTTAGTTACTCTCAGGCTAAAATTGAATGTACGAAGATGTGCATTACATGAGAATAGAATTTATATTCGTCAATTCTAACAAATCGATGCATCGCTCAATAAAGTGAATTAGAACATTCAGAAATTCAATGGTTTTTAAATGCAAGACGTTAAACTTCGACTAACAACTTTCTGCCAAAAGAATCATCCGACCTGATGAGCACCATTTAAGTCCATACTGTGCCTACAAGAATGCGTCAGTAAGATCCACAAAAGCCTAAAAGAGTTCGTTCCACTGGTTGTTGAGAACCGAACTGTGATCGGTTTACTGAATTTTCAATTTGGCTTAAAATATGTGCTGAATAAATCAAAAATCAGAATTTCGATGTGAAACTTTACTCATAGATTGATCTGATAATTGATAGAATATCCTGAAAGTTTCAGCCGAAAAGAATAGTTTTTTTTTGTCGAGATATCAAATTTTCAAGTACACTCGGTTTTTACATCGTGCCTGAGGCAAGTGATTATTTTTTTGGAAAGTCGATATCTCAACAAAAGAGCATCATTTTTCACCTGGAACTTTTAGGATATTCTATGAGTCATTCGATCTATCCATAGGTAAAGTTTCACATCGAAATTCTGGTTTTTGATTTATTCAGCGTGTGCTTAATGCCGGGTCGAAAATTCAGTAAAACGATCATAATTCAGCTCCAAAGAACAATGGAAACGGACTCCTTTGAGTTTTTCTAGTGTTACGGAAATTTCCTTATGAACTCAAACGACAGGTGTCAGTTGGAGTCAATGCTTTATCTGAATTTTCTCTTTTGAAAGAGTCAAGCCGACCTTTGACGTCGCACCATGTCTCGGTCCTCACTCTGAATAAAATACTAGGTCGGGTGGTTTCCTCGTAATCTTTTTAATTTGATTATAAATTCCACTAGTTCTTTGAACTTTTTAAATCAATCTCAAAGAAAAAGAGAATTATTCTCTATTGTCAATATCATATTTGAATTTCTTGAAAAAAGATAATAGAAGCATGAAAAAAGAAGTATACGAGACATTTTTTTATAATACTGAATGTTTGAAATTCTTTTTTTTTCTATTATTATTTATCATACAAAACCAACAAGTTCAATTAAGTTTAACATTGATTTCTACTTTAAGCAAAAGTCTTGCTTTTTAATCTGGCATTATAGTTATTATAAACAGGAATTGATACAAAGAACAAAAAAAAAACAATATTTTAAATAGAAACATTTGCATTAGCTGTACTGCTTCGTAATTTTGTTTTATTTGCTGTGCATCATTTTCTAAATTAATGGTTGATGTTGTCAACGAACCTTTTCGAATGCGTTCTGCTAAGTCGATTTTATCATCATCATCATCTTGTGGATCAATTTGAACAACCGTTTTATTAACAAGTGTATTTACAAGGGATGAAACTATGTGTAGATCTTGTTCATTATCACTCATATCTTCTAATGCTTTCATATAAGCTTTGGCAAACATATATACATCGAGAAATTGTGTTGCACCACGACGATCAAAAGCTGTTTTCTGTAAACAACCAATTGTTGATCATGATAAAATTTCATCATCTGAGTCTGAAAACTTAGAAAATTTTATTTGATTAACTTTGCATTTTGATTGCAAAAAAAACAAATGAATCTATTTTATAATTCATCGAAGTATTAAGTCTCACTACTATAGGCGTAAATTAATTTAAACTATTGGCACAGAAAAAAAACTGGAGAATTTCATAAACGCAAATAATTTATTAACTATTCAAAGTTTATTATATTTGTATCGTTGTCTAAAGCACAATCATTAAATGACTGACTATTATTATCAATAAATAGTACTATATTGATGAAGATAGAAGAAAAAGAAAAAATGCTCCCAAGGGAGTCTCTTTAGATGCCTTCTTCTACTTTCAATGATTTTTGTCTATAGATACTGCATATTGTTCTAATAAAAACTCTAAAGGGATTTGGGTTCCTATTGAGACTTAACCAATGAGGGAACTGCCCGATATGATATCTCGCGTTTGAGATGAAAACTCAGTCATTACGTAGGAACTGTTGAGACTTGAAGAAACCTAGAACGATGCTTTCCCATGCGCTGGTTTTTTGAAGTTATAGACGTTACACTGACGAATTTTGGCCTAAAGCTTAGTACCTTGAGGGTGTGGATGTGATCCACACTCTCTTAAACTGTTGAATTTTTATTATGTCTATTTTTTAGAGATCCTCGGCTTTGAACATTTAGAGAACTCAATTACATTAATTTCCATGAAAAAATTCAGAAATTTTGAACAAAGCCTGCGAGATATGAAGCTTTCAAAAAACGCATGTTGTATAGGCTATGCATGTAAAATGCTTTATATATCTTGAAAGTCTCATATCTCGAAGAGACTTTGTTCGAAACTTCTAAATTTTTTTATGAAAGTTAGTCTAATTGAATTCTCTATATGGACACAGTTTTAGATCGAAATTCGTAAACACGAGTTTTCCAAAAATCATTACGTAGTATCTATAGGCAAAACCTCATTGAAATCAAAAGGAGGCATGTGAAGAAGCTCCCTTGTCAATTTTTCATCAATTAAAGAAACCAAAGAAAAAGAATTAATTTGAATTCTTTTTTTGAATAATAAGTAAAACAAAAAGCACGAAGAAAGTGATAATCAAGAATTTTCTTTTTTGCCTTGATAATAGATGTTACCTAGTCATTCTATTACATTTGATAAGGATTCAAGGTAAGTACAACAAAACAAATACACTGCTTTTGTGACAAGACATCTGTTGAAAGTGAATGTAATTCTATTTTTTTGTCTTATCATAATGATGAATTTTCTTTTCTGGAGAATGTTGTTATGCTTATTCATCATACTTCCAATAATAAGTGTAACTAGTCGTTCACTTAATATAAATAATTATTCACCATCAAACGCGATAACAGATCGTATTATTGAATTAGTTACTCGAGGTGCATTTCGTGGTGTAACTTATAATCGTTTAGCTGCTTTAACTGATACAATAGGTCCCCGTTTATGTGGAAATGAATCATTAACTAAAGCTGTTAATTGGGTACAAAATGCTATGATTAATGAAAGTCTTGATAATGTTCATATCGAAGAAGTTCAAATACCTCATTGGGTAAGAGGTGAAGAACGTGCTCAATTACTTCAACCACGTTATACGAAATTATCAATGCTTGGTTTAGGTAATTCAATTGGTACAGGACCAAAAGGTATTCAAGCACCTGTACTTGTTGTTCGATCGTTTGATGAATTAAATGCAAGATGTCAAGAAGCTCGAAATAAAATCGTTGTTTTTAATCCTCAGTGTGATTGGGAAACACAACCACTTGGTTGTTATGGTCCTGTTGTTGGTTATCGTGTTGCTGGAGCATCACATGCTGCTAAATGTGGAGCATTAGCTTCTCTGAGTCGATCAGCTGCATCACGTTCCATTGATTCGCCACATACAGGTGTTATGGGATATGATTCAGCATATCCGAAAATTCCAGCTGGATCGCTTTCAGTTGAACATGCTGATATGCTTGACCGTTTTCAACAACGAAATCAATCTATGGAAATTTTTCTCTATATGGAAGCACAAACGTTACCTGATGTTATTGGTTATAATCTTGTAGCTGAAGTGAAAGGTTCAACATTACCTGATGAAACTGTTCTTGTTAGTGGTCATTTGGATAGTTGGGATGTTGGTCAAGGTAAATTGTTCATTATTTTTCTTTTTTCTGTTTACTGAAATCTCGCTGTTTTAAAGGAGCTATGGATGATGGTGGCGGTGCGATGATCTCTTGGACTGTTCTTTCTTTACTTCATTCGTTAAATATTCGAGCTAAACGAACAGTACGTTGTGTTCTATGGTCATGTGAAGAATTTGGTGGTGTTGGTGCTGATCAATATTATAATGCGCATGCAAATGAAGTACCAAAAATGAGCATTGTTATGGAATCAGATCTTGGAGTATTTCATCCACAAGGCTTACAATTTCAAGGCACACCTGAAGCACAGCAAGTAGGTTTTCTAAAAAAAGGAATTTTTTTTCTAATGAAAAGATGTCATAATTAGATTATAAAAAATATATCGAAGCAATTGACATCAATCAATGCAACTCAGGTGGTATCGGGAGGCGGTGGTGAAGATATTAGTCCATGGATGCAGCATGGAGTTCCTGGGGCATCACTTCTTAATGATAATTGGGATTATTTTGCATATCATCATTCAAAGGGTGATACAATGAATGTACTTAATTCAACTGATGTTGATTTAGCAGCAGCTGTTTGGGCTGTGTATGCTTTTTCTGTTGCTGATCTTGATAATCTTTTACCGCGTTAGCTTTATAATTGAAAGATTTGCTTTTCATAAAAAAAAGATAAATATTTTAACGTTACTGTGAGAAGTAAAGAAAGAAAAATATTTAAAACAATCAAGTATCATGAAGGAGAAAGAAAAGTTTGATGCAAAAAGAATTTCTTTTCTAATTCCTTCTATAGGCTATTTTACTTTGATTTGCACTTTTTATTAATGTCAAACTGTTTGATAAGATTTATTTATAATGTTGAAAAATGTCAGAATTCGTACAGCAATCATTGATAAACAAAAAACAAAACTGAATGGATCAGCACGGCATGCGATGATAGAACAGACGAAACTGCTTCAAAAATGAATCCTCTTGTATTTTATTTATTGAACAAAGACAAAAGAAAACAAAGCAGTTATTTTAATAATAGCAGCAAACGAAGATAATGTACTAGGAACATTTGAATTTTTGACAGCGATAAAAGCTTGTTTATTTGTATAAAAAGTAGATAAAGATGTAGATACAGTACTAGTGAAATCAGTGGTGTCTATTTTCAAATGAGAATCTTATTACGAAATTACTTTCTGAAATGCTTGCTAAAAAACAAGTAATACTTAATAATAAGGGCCTAGTTTTTAATCCACAACTCCACTGCAAATCGACCTTCATTTCAATAATTTATGAAAAAAGCATAACAAAGATTGAAAAAGAATCTCTTGCAAATTGAGCATGTATTGTTTTTTTTTGTCGGTGAAATAGCCAAATCGAATCCTTCATTGATAAATTTGAAACATCACATAAACCAAGTGAAGTTCTAAGATGGCTTCATAGAGATTGCCAACTACATTGAATAATATCATGCCTTTTCACTCGATAATGATCAATATCCACGGAATTGTTTGACTCTAGAATATCAAAAAGAAATCAATCAGTCTGAAAGAGAGCACATGGGATAGCTTACTTTTATTTTTCATCACTCCAACAGTTCAATTAAGTCACTAGGCATCGGGTGGCTTTTTGTGCTGAGCAGGACGTCATAATGGACCTAGCAGTGGGGTGTGAATGTGGTGTGTGGTGTGTGGGGATGTCTGAGTCTTATTTTAATTGATATCCACACCCATTATGGCGTCGTGCTCAACACTATGATGTCAAGCAACTAATTTAACAAAATTAAATTTTTATTTTAGCGGTCAATGAGATTACGCACCGAAAATTCCGTGGGCCAAAATTCATGTAACCCGACGTGGTGGCATGAAGCATCGTTAAAAGAGTTGTGACTTCGGTGCGTCTCTGTGCGCACAAGGTTCCGAATATTTATGAGTTTCCTGCATAGCGAAGTAGCACGAACCATATCAAAATCATAAAATTATAATGCAAATAAATTTTTTTTTTCGGGCCTCTATCTAATACAGTCTACGGCACATTATGATTTCTCAATCGAAAATTTTGTTTTAACTCTTGTGTCTCTTAACTTTTTTACGAAATTTTCAATCTTATTCGAACGCCAGTCAGGTGTCTACTCCCCTCTCGAGGTGCTTTCCCGATTCATCGCTGATAGACCAACTTACATCGGGGTTCTCAGGAAAAATCTTATAACTCTTGCATGGAACAAGTTAGGAGTGTCGGTCTTGCGTAGATTGAAAGAGAAGATTCTTTTCCATCGATTAGTCTTATTAGAAGTGTAAATCAAACGAAAAATAGCTTTATTACAGGGTTTTCGAAAATCTGCATCAATAACTCATGTAAGTGGTCAACTGCTGATCAATCAAAGTTCAGTGTACTTCGATGGCTCTGAGTCTTGTCTCTTCAATGGTGAAAGCCACGGGTCTCTGTGACGTTTCTATCAAAAGCTATTCAGAGAACAGTGAAGCATATTATTTTACGAAATGGGTAAAAGTTGATAAAGTTTAATCAAAACTGAATTATTTCATTTTGGTCACATTTTTAATATATTTTACTTCGTAGGAACAGCGTAAACAGCCTGTAAACCCCTCCCATATTAGAAGCCCCCCCCGGGGCTTCTATTAGGCCTTGCAAACTTTGGCCGGATTTTGCTGGGAAAAATTGAAAATTTTGCTGGATAGATTCTTTAAAGGGGGCTTCTAATAGGGGGAGGGCTTCTAATATGGGAGGGGCTTCTATTACGGGGAGGGGTTTACACTATATTTTCAAGTGAGATCTTTTAAAAAAACTGGTGTTCGTAGATGATTATATATTCCCAAATGTGGTGAAAAAAAATGTTAGCGGGTATGTATAGACACAGCTTCGATAAACTGGTACAAATTTTGCGTCAAAATTGATTACAATGAGTGTTTATCTTCAATGAGCTGATGTTCGTAGATTTTCAAGCATGTTTGAGAGGTGTTCGCAGACAAATTTTGACTTGCATCATTCGAATCTTCTTTCGGACTCGTTCAAAGTAAGTGGTCGTAGGTGTTCGTGGACATAACTCATTGAGTTCTATCTACCTATATGAATAGATTTACGGTATCTTCCCTTTCGAGGTGTTCGCAGGTGTTCGTGTAGTTTACAGGGAGCCCATGTGGACAGTCAATCATACTGGACATTTGTCACATCTAGTGCATTTTCATCAAGAATCTTCGATTCGATTGTAACAACTAAAAAAACGACTTTCACAACTCTGCTTCCAATTATGTTACATCACTCGACAATGTTCGAAAACTAGAGAGAAAGGTCCTCTGGAAGTGTTTGACTGCCTTCGAACACATAAATGGTGCGTGCTGGCCTCTGAAGCAGAAATATCGAATTCTTAATCTACCATAAAGAATAATAATATGTTAATGGATGTTTAAATCCTCAATCATGAAACGTTTGTTGGAACTGAATTTCCAATCATACGCAAAGTAGACAAGGCGTGGAGAAACAAGCAAGACTTCAGTACTTCGAAGTATGAGTAAAATACGATTGAAGGATGATATTTCAATCGTACTTAGGGCCACTGAAGTTTGACTGTTTTTCTCTGAGACTAAATCTCTACTATGGTAAATTTTTTCCTCCTATTGAACATCAACTCATGAAGAAATTTACCAATACATGTGCCGTATAATTAATGTTATCTTGGAATAAGAAGAAGGGTGAATGAATATTTGAGGGTGTATGTATGTAGGTGTATTGCTTCTTTTCATTCACAATCACCGCATGCACGTATTACATCCACCCAAAGCCAACACTCATATCCTCAAGAGACTAGTGTAACGATTTCTGATAGAAGTGATATTAGTGTGGATGGAGGCACACTTTATTCTATTCATTCATATCATACAATCGCGTCACTCTGATCAAAAGCACACGTTTATATATGCAAGCATCAGGGAGAACGAAAGAGAACGAAGGCTAAGGACAAATATCAACGATATCAAAACAACAATAAGAAGCAAGGACCATGTCTAGGATACATATATACAGTAAGGAAGCATTACACATTACTCATACAATGCACTCTACTGGGACTGTTACAACTAGTGAGTGAGGGGAATTCATGAAATAAGAAAGGAAAAGGCTACTCCAAGAGATAGATATCGTGCATTCACACGCATGCCCGTTAATTCCCTTCAAGAGTCCAAAAGTGTTGACACAGAAAAACGTGAAGTTTGAACATTCAGTTTCCTTTGATACTGCATATGTTAGTTGCACACGCCATTTCCAACTATTGCAGCTCAGCCTTTCGTATTTCTTTTATCCATTCCTGCAATCTTCATGAACTTGCGGTCCTCAAGTTAGCAACACTTGTCTCATCGACTCGAACTGTTATTTGAATGATATAGACCATCATGAAATAAACCTCACTTTCAGACGTCTTTGGGGTCGACTCACTGACATTAATATCAGAAGTGGCCAGCAAATATACTGCAACTCTCTACATCATGTCTGTCTACATTACTCCATTATTATAACATAGTCCAACTTAGTAAATAAAGTCGTTCAAAATCAGAAAAAGCTTTCACTATATCTAAAGGCCTGTTACCATAAGTATCATTCCACCTTCTGAGAAGAACCAAAATGAACTAACAAAACAGAAAGTTCATGGATACACTATGATTTATGAAATCTAGGGAAGCGACATCAGTGAGCACCTTCACACATAAACTGTCTTGAGTCATTGGATGAGGAAAAAGTTACTTATAACAAACATCATAGAGCAAAAGTTGCCTAGCTCGAGACTAGCATGCATCCAGTAACCAACGGCTTCAAGAGCACGACTGCAGCTGCTTAACGCGAGTCAGTTGCCTCTTCAGGCGAGGGTACCCTGTTCGTTAAGTAGTTGCCGACACTGCAGATGTCGTTATGGTCGCTGACGCTAATAATAGTCGCACAAAAAACGTCGAAGTTCAAGGCGCTAGCTACGTGAATCATATACTTGACAATTACGGGCGGGTAGTTGTCCAATTCGGAAATCGCAACTGTGTAGTTGTCGATCCCGAGGCGAGCGGCCGAGTAGAATTCAAAGTTACAGTAGTGGGTTGTGTTGACGGTCTGCTTGTCGATGACGGACGTGTTGTTGTTAAGTTCGAAATTCGCAGCTGTGTAGTTGTCGATACCGAGGTAAGTGGTCGAGTAGAATTCAAAGTTACAGTAGTGGGTTGTGTTGACGGTCTGCTTGTCGATGACGGACGCGTCGTTGTTGAGTTTGAAATTCGCACCTGTGTAGTTGTCGGTCCCGAGGTAAGTGTTCGAGTAAAATTCAAAGTTGCAGTAGTGGGTTGTGTTAACGGTCTGTTTGTCGATGACGGACGTGTTGTTGTTGAGTTCGAAATTCGCAACTGTGCAGTTGTCGATCCCGAGGCGAGCGGTCGAGTAGAATTCAAAGTTACAGTAGTGGGTTGTGTGACGGTCTGCTTGTCGATGACGGACGTGTTGTTGTTGAGTTCGAAATTCGCAACTGTGTAGTTGTCGATCCCGAGGTAAGTGGTCGAGTAGAATTGAAAGTTGCAGTAGTGGGTTGTGTTNAGTACAGCATGCATTTTTCATATGGCAGGCGGACATTTCACTTTCTTGCTCAGAAATGATTTGATATGATAGAGAAATGCATTTTTAAGGAAAAAACAAACCCATTTTTGAGAGAAGGAAAGTTTTCAACGAAAAATGCCAGAGGAGAACCCTTGCATTTACGTTTTTTGGAGAAAATATTTTTCTTCAAAATTGTTTTACATTATACGTCATTCGACGTAGCTAAATGCACTGATTCCGAATATACGGTTTTTGTTGATTAAGCATTTTTCAAGGCCAAAAAACACTTTAATATACATAAGAAACCTAGGTTTTCTGGAAACTCACTATGCAGTCCAGGAATATTTATGCTAGCAAAGATTAGAGACAATAGATAGAAGAACATTCTCGCGAGATATGGAACATTTTGAAAATTGGATGTAGGTGAATTTGGTCATTTTACAGGACTAACTCTTTAGACGACACTGTAGAAACAAATATTCTTTTTTTCTCTAAAGTTAAAAGTGCAAATAAAAAAAAGATTTTCTTACCATTGTATAAAGCTTCACTTGAAGATTCAGAAAGTCTGCTTGGTTCGCCTGTCGAACAGTTTCATTTTGTCAGATATTAATTTTCTTGATGACACCATGATTTTCGACAACTCGTTTTTAAGTTTCTGTGAGGGTTGTAACAGATTTATTCATATTATAAGATAGACTATATGTCGACGTATATATCCCACTATTTAAATGTTGAAAAAGAGCGATTTTCAGTTTTAGCCAAATGTCTGCCTAGATGCACACTGTGGGAGTGTAGGGAGGAGACAAATTTGTATCCCTGTATCTCAACACTCCTTTTAGATTGTATTTCATAAAAGATAATAAGTTTAAAATGAATTTTTATTCAAATGAAATCTTCTAATGACTGAAATTCTTTTCTTCTCTATGAGTATAGATTCTAATTAAGGTTTATACTAATTAATTTTTTGATAATTTAAATATTTCTTTTCTTAGCTTCTTAGCGATGAACAACCACTTTATCCACGTGGTAAAACTCTTCATATTCGTCCTATTTCAAGACCTTATTTGGGAAGTTATCGTTGTTCAATTCCGGGTAGCAGTTATGCAGATGCAAATAGTGTTCTTACTTTTGGAGGTAATTTTATTTAAGAAAAGAATTTAATGAAAATTTTATATGATTTTCATGCTTTTTTTAAGGCCCAGTTCCAACAACAACTGTTCCAAGCTATCGTATGAAGATTGTTTTCTTCTCTTGTATTAAAATAATAAACTAATTTTCTTTCTTTAGCTACTGCATTTACTGTAACAATTGATATTGTTCAAGGTCAAACAGCTCAAGGACAAGCACAGGAAAATTCACAAGTTATTCTTCGATGTCGACCAAGTGAACAAGCTACTAGTTATCGATGGACATTTACATCTGTAAATAATACTTTTTTCTCGAAGTTTATTTTTCAAATCGTCATGTGTTTATTGCTTTTTTTAGAGTCAAGGAGCAGCCAATCGTGGTTACACAGATCAATTAGTTCTTCCTCGAGTTACTGTTCAAGATTCAGGTGTATACACATGTGAAGCAACTAGTAGTCGTGGTCAATCGGCACATGGCACAATCAATCTTTATGTTAATGGTATAATCTATTAGAACAGGACATTTTTTATCGTATATAATTTTTGTTTTTTTAATCTAGCTGCTCCTCAACAGCCAATAGCTGGTCGATGTGGTGTTGATGAAGCTACTTGTCGTAATGGTCGATGTATTCCTCGTGCATATCTTTTCGATGGTAAAAACGATTGTGGTGATAATAGTGATGAAGGTTCTGGAAGTAGTAAGTGATAAAAATCTTAGTGTTAAAAAAACATAATTATTAAAATCAATTTAGGTGATGCATGTCAACCAAATGAAATTCATTGTACGAATGCTGATCGTGGACGAAAATGTGTACAGAAATTTTGGATGTGTGATGGTGATCGGTAATGAAAATGAATAAAATTTTATTTAAAAAATCTATATTTATTTCTTTGTTTGTTTTTAGTGATTGTGATGATGGAAGTGATGAAGATCAACGTTATTGTGGTATGTAAAAAAAACAAAGATAAACAAATTCTCAGAGAAAAATTTGATTTCTATTATTTAACAGAATTACTTCCTCGTCAACGTTATTGTAAACCAAGTGAATTTCATTGTGGTGGTTCAAATGCTACAACACCAAATCCAATATGCATTCCACGATCGTTTCAATGTGATGGTTATAATGATTGTCCTGATCGTTCGGATGAAGTCGGATGTGGTAAATTACATAAATATTGAAAATTATTCTCATATATTATTTTTTTTCTTGTTGTTTTAAAGTTAAACCAATTGTTGTATCGGCACCACAACGTCAAATTCAAGTTAATGCTGGTCAAACATTAACTATTTTGTGTATAGCTCGCGGTTCACCAGCACCATATATCAATTGGCGTCTCAATTGGGGACATGTATGTGGTGATGGTTCAGATAATGGACGATGTACGATGGCACAATCTGTAGATCCACATGATCCAAATCTTGTAACTGGTACACTTACTGTTCGTAATGTTATTGCAGCTGATGGCGGTGCTTATTCATGTGAAGCACTTAATAATCAAGGATTTATTTTTGCTATTCCGGATGCTATTGTTGATGTTATTATTGGTTTGTACATTGATTTAAAAATAAACAAAAAAAAAACATGCTTCGTTTCTTTTTATTTTTTGCTTGAGTAGATTCAGGTCCTCGACCAACACCACCACCACCACCACCACCACCAATACCATGTAATTGTAATGATCATTCATCATATTGTACACCTACCGGACAATGTCTTGTATGTATTGAAGAAGAAAAAAGATTAATTATATTTGTTATTATGTTGTGTTTTTTTTCTTAATTTCTAGAATTGTCAACATAATACTGCTGGTTATAATTGTGAATTCTGTGCACCAGGTTATCAAGGTGATGCTCGTCGAGGTACACCATATGATTGTCAACCAGTTACAGTTGCACCACAAAGATCACGTAAATAATTATTATTTGATATGAATAGATTAGTTTAATTTTTGTTTTTTAATTATTTTGAATAGGTTGTAATCCAGCTGGCACACATATGGAACGTGGTGATCGTTGTATTTGTAAATACAATGTTGAAGGTGCTCGATGTGATCAATGTAAACGCAGTCATTTCTATTTGAATCCAACAACACCAAATGGTTGTCTACCATGTTTCTGTTCGGGTGTATCAACTGATTGTACTTCAACTGATTGGCGACGACAACCCGTAAGTTTTGTTTTGTGTTTGTTTTATTTCAAAAAAAATTCTTTTCGCTTATTAGATTCAACTTCCATTAAATAATTGGAATGCTGTACCGAAAACTTTTGCTACTGATCCATATGAAGCACGTGATCGAATTCAACAACGTCATGGTGGACGTGAAATAGCTCTTGATCAAAGTTCATTAGGACGACCAGCTAATGAAGTTCTCTATTGGAAAGCACCAAAAGAAACACTTGGAAATGTTGTTACATTATATGATGGTAATATTGATATTCATTTTATAAATGATGGTAATGATAATGAAGCACCAAGTAATGATGAATTTATATGGTTACGTGGTAATAATATTGATCTTGCTCATAAAATTCCACAAAATCAACGATTTAAAGCAAATTCAAATGCTACTTATTCGGTACCATGTAATGAAGTACGCATATAAATAATTAAATAAACAAAAAGACATTATAAAAACTATTCAATACGTTTTTTTCTTTGTTTTCTAGAGAACATTTACACGTAAAGATGGTACATATATTGATCGAGAAAATATTCTTATGGCTCTATCAGATTTGGACACATTACTTGTTAAAATAAATCCAATTGGTGGCCGACGTAATGCTGTGTAAGATAATTAATAGAATTTAATTTGAATTTGATTTCGTTTTATTTTAGTCTTCGTGGTGTTACTTTAAATGTTGCTGCTCGTGATGGTTATACGGATGCAGCACCAACAGTTGAATCATGTCGTTGTCCAGCTAATTATACGGGTTCATCATGTGAAAAATGTGCTGAAGGTTATGGTCGTCCACATCCATTAGTTGGTATTTATTTGGGTCAATGTTGGTCATGTCGATCATTATGTAATGATCGATCAGATCGATGTGATCGAGATACTGGCAAATGTCTTGTATGTATTAACATATATTTTTAATGTTTTTGTTTCGTTTGATTATATTTCGTTTTTTGTATAAATAGGATTGTCAAGCTAATAGTGAAGGTGATCGATGTGAACGATGCCGTCCTGGTTATGTACTCGATCCACGATTAAATCAATGTACAAGAGATGAACAATATCCATCTTGTAAGATTATGAAAATAATAATTTATTTTCGTAATATATTTGTTTACTTATTTTTAGATCCAGTACCACCATATGGACCTGGTCCAAGAGGTGCTTATTATGTTGATCAACGACCTTATGATACACGTGGTACGACTCCATTAACTATTGTTTTAGATGGTAACCAACCAGAACAACGTGTTCCACTTCAAGTTCTTGTATATTACTAATTGTTTACCTATATTTCTTTTTTTATATAAGAATTTTTTAAATTTTATTAGAATGCTCAACCACGATCCGTTGTATGGGGTCGTACTGATGGTAGTCCATTACCAGCCAGTGTTGTTCAAGATGGCAATGATCTTGTTTTTCGTAATCCATCAGCTGAACAAGCTGGAAATTATATCTGCACAATAACTCATCCTGATGGTTTTATTGAACGTATTGCTATTTATTTAGATTATCGTCCAGGTTAATTTATTTTTAATAGAAATAATTCTTATAGAAATGATTATGTTCTTTTTAGGTCAACCACAACCTATTAGTCCACCTTTTGCCTATCCAGTATTTAGTCCACCAAGTCCATTGACGATAATTGAAGGTGATAATCAAGTCGTACAACCTCAAGGTGTATTTTATCAAGTTTACTGGCGTCGTGAAGTTGATCAACCACTTCCATTAGGTATAACTCAAAGTGGTAATAATTTACAAATAAGTGGTGCACGACCAGAACATTCGGGTACTTACTATTGCGACGTATACGGAAGTGATGGTGCACAGGCATCTATTCCATATGAACTTCGTGTTCAACATCTTGAACGACCACGTCCTGTTGAACGACCACATCCAAGTACTGGTAAATTAATCAAAATAAAAAAAAACAGAGAAATAATTAATCTAGAAGAGTATTGTTGTTTTCTTTAAGGTGGTTCACCAAAAATAACTATTGAACCAAGAGTAATTAATTTAAAAGAAGGTCAACGTATGATTGTTCAATATACAGTTAGCGTAAGTTTGAATAAAGATTCGTTAGAAGAAAATTTTTAATTTCTTGTTATTTATTTAGTCACAAGATCCAATCGATGTTACTTGGAATAAATTGACAGATCAAGGTTATCAACCAATTCCAGCATTATTTACTGTTGAACCAAATCGTCTTGTACTTAATCGTGCAACACCTGATGCCGCTGGTACATATCAAGTTGTTGTACGTAATCCACATGGTGAAGATCGACAGGAATTACGTATTACTGTTGAACCACGACGTGGTCGAGGACGTGAACAACAAGCTGGTGCACCACGAATTCAATTCTCACAAGATCAATATGATATTAGTGCTGGTGAAGTAATCGATGTTACACCAACTATTTCTGTAATAAAAAAAAGTTTTCTTTTTTTAATTATTGTAAAGTTTTATTATTTATATTTAGGGAGCAAGTGGAGCAAAAGCAACTTGGTCAAAAGATGGTTCAGCAAATTTACCTGAAGGTGTCATTGCACGTAATGATGGAGCATTACGTGTTGAAGGACGATCACATAATGTTGATGGACGATATACACTTGATGTCATGAATGCTTATGGTCGTGTATCGGCACCAATTGTTATTCGATGGAAAGAAGCAGGTAAGTGTTATTGAATAATGATTAATAATTCTTAACATTATTTTCTTTTGTCATTTAGCTGTTCCACAAGGTGGTCATGGTAAGTAATATTAAATTTGCTTATTATTATGCTTTGCTTTCTTAACCATAAAACCTTTTCCTTTTGCTTATTAATCATTGAATTAACAGTAAATCAAAATCGAAGAGTTCATTGGAATGTTCAAAGATTAGATTTGAACGAAGGTCGTCGTCTTGAAGCTGTTTGTCGAAGTGATGTTGATCCATTAACACTACGTTTGGATGTTACACGTCATAATGGTCGACAACGTGAAGCAGTACCACTTGGTCTTTCATTTTCAAATGGTTATTTATCATTGGGTGCTGTTACAAGACAAGACAATGGACTTGAATTTACTTGCTCATCAGGAAATGCTTCTGATACCTTAACGCTTAACGTTCGCGCATCGAGTACGCCCAGCTTATTCTATTATTCTTTTTACATCAGCTTTCTATTTTATTATGATTTTTTTTCTCTGAATTAGATTTTTTTTTAATTTAAATTTTTGATAATTCCCAGGTCATGATCTCGACGCTCCACGTAGTTTCATTGATGTACGTCTTGAACCACGTGACGAACAAAGTCATCAAGTTGGACGTGAAATTCATTTACAATGCGCAGTTCAAGGAAGTGTTGAACGCCCATATGAATATACATTTACTAAAGATGGTCAACCATTAGAAAATAGTAAAATTAGATTATTAGTTTATTTTGGTGCAAAAAAAACGTTTTTTTTTTAAATAGATGTTGAAGTACATCCAAATGGTTTATTAATTATTCGTAATGCTCAAGCAAGTGATGCTGGACGTTATCGGTAAAGAAAAGTCTTTTTTTCTTTAAAAAAATTTATTTATGTTTATTTAAATAGATGCGAAGTTAGTTTCCCACGTGCACCAGAAGCTGGAACGCAAGAAAGTAGTTACGATCTTCGAATTGAAGGTAAAAGAATTGATTTCTTTTTCTTCAATTATCAATATTCAAATTTTTATTTAAGGTGGTTCCGCTGGAGGTTATGATCAAAGTTTTCAACATGGTGGTGAATATCAACCACAAGGTGATTACGTTGAAGTAACTATTGAACCAAATGAAGTAACTCTTGGACACGGCGAAAAAGCCAATTTAACATGCCGTGTTAAAGGTGCTCAACAATTCACTGTAACATGGACTAAATATGCACATGATACAAGTTTACCAAATTATGCTCGTGTATGTATTAAAAAAAAGAAAGATTTAAAAAAAAAACTTCATTTCTATCCTTTTATGTTTGAATAGCAACAAGGAAATAGTGTTATATTAGCTCCAACTAATGAATCACCTGCTGAGCAAATGTATTTACAATGTTCAGTAGCAGTACCTGGTCAACCTCAACCATATCTTGGTTATGCACCAGTTACTCTTCGGGCAAATGATGAATTACGTAAGAAGAAAAAGAAGAGACGCTCATAGATAATAATTATATAAATAAACTTGTGTGAAATATGAATACACACTAGTCAATATAATTAACAACATTTTATTCTCATTGACATTATCTATTTTCGTAAAACATCGTTTCTTTTTCTTTAAGTTGAAATTTATTATAAAACAGTTTTCTCTTTTTCTTGCTTTGTAGTTTTTCTCTTAATTGATCAAAATGTTTTAGAATAGTTAGGCTGATCTGTGTGCTTGTGTGAATTGGCTTTTTCTTTTTTTTTTTTCTTTAATCGTCGTTTATTCTTGAGCGTCTTGTAACTGTAACACAGTGTCTTTTTTTCTCTCTTAATTGCTAATGCCCAACGGTGTTCTTCTCTCAATGCTCCTACTACTGTTGTTGTTTGTATCTGTTTTTTTTTGACTAACTATATAAACATGATCTTATAAACAAAAATATTGTAAAGTAGTTTTTATTCATATGCAAACATTTATTTAATAATTGATTTATTGACATATATTTGAATTTCTAAATCAAATTATTCGGTTTTAATATATTATTACAAAAAAACTAAGATTAATTGACTTTTTTTTAAAAGATTTTCTCAATAGAGAGATTACAATCATGAAAAATAATTTATGATAGTTAAAATAATTTAGAATTCATGCATGAGAAAAGCTCAAATTTTGGATACTTCTACTGATCAGATACAATTTTAAGCAGTTGTTATTCATTTCAAAATATGATGTTCTTCAACTTTTTTTTTTGAATAACTTTTGGCAGGAGCATCATAGAAATTTGTGGTCTTCATTATTCAAGAGAGAAGATTGGGGACTATCGAGCTATGTTGAAATTTGGGTTTTCACCAATTGAGATAATTCGTAGGAAAAATGCTTCTCTTTCGATCTGTGCAAAGCAGACATTTCTAGTTTGCTCTACTCGAGAGTTATGAGACTTTGTCTAAGACTCTGGATTTCAGCTAATTGATCTATGATCATTTGGAAAAGCAGCCAGGAGATGGTAATTCACCATGCTGTGTCGAATGATAATAGTTGACTCCATGTTCAAAATGATTTGACTGTGTTATTTCAAAATTTTTGAAATGCCGCCTCGTTCGTTACATGAAGGCTGATTGTGGAATTTCAGAAATACTGACATAACAGAGTCAGATCATTGTAAACCTAAAAATACATATCACTATTCGACTCAGTATGATGAATTACCGTTGCCTAGCTGCTTTTTCAGGTGGCTGCAGATCAATTGGCTGAAATTGACAGTCTCACGAACAGTCTCATAACTCTTGAGTAGAATGAACTAGGCATATCGGTATAGCATAAATTGAAAGAGAAGAATTTTTCTACCGATTGATCTATTCAATGTCTAAATTGAAAACGTAATAGCTTCAGAATATCGTTTTCGACAATCCCCATGAAGAACTCACTCATTGGTCAAGTGATGATCAATCAATTTTCGACATATTTCGATGGTCGCAAATCTTCTTCTCTCTTGAATGATGAAAACCGCAGGCCTCTATGATGTTCCTATTAAAAGTTATTCCAAAAATAGTAGATCACAGTATATTTGAAATCGATAGTAGATAAAATCAAATGAATGCTATTATTGAAAAGTTTTCATACATTTATTTAAGACTATTTCATTGATTGTACCTTTTCTGCAATTTATCTTCTGAGAAAAGCTTGTCAGTGTAGCCTCTTTCAGAACTAAAATCTGAAGTTCGCATGTGTTTTTTATTGTCTCATAAGGCTAATAAAAAACACGTCAAGTGAAAAATGTGTACCAGACCGTATTTGTTTTTTAAGAGTAATCGAGCGTCAGTGGAATGATCTGTCTTATTTAGTTTTTGTTATTCTTCTAGAACTGTATTTTTTGTTTGCCTTGTTGTTATTCGCTCGTTATTTCCATTTTTCTTAATTTGACATTATTATTATTGTAACTGTTGATTTATTAAGCAAATATATTTCTTGCACACCGCCATTATATCTTCAATAGATCTCAACACAATACTATATGTCTCACTAAACTCAAAAACACTGATATGGATTGTTTCTCAAACTTATCACTTCAGTCGAAGTTTTGTTGTTAATGTCATTCACTACCTTTTTCATTGATGAGAAATTATGAAAAATGAGCCTGATGCCTGTTGTCTTTGACTCCAATGGAAACGTATCCTATGATCGTCTCCTACTCTATCCTGTTGTTCTGTCAATGAAGCCACAATACCTCGACTTGAAAATTACACTCACCATATTTTTTTTTTCAAAAACATAATGTGACTTCCACAAAATCGATATAAGTACAACAGAAACATCAAGTATATTTTATTAAACATATTTATAGCGATGATACGTTTTAACTATTTTTTGGTATATTTTGTATTAAAACAAAAAGACATTCGATTCTACTTTTCTTTGATTAATAAATTAAAACCATTTTTCTCGCTTGAGTTGTGTTTTTCACCTTATATCAATGAAATCTTTCTATTTCGAAGGATCATAGATGTTATTAAAACATACAAATGAAGAAACTAATGTAAACTATTCCATCTCACATGTTTCTTCGCACTACTATCGGTATACTGTGAGACTCTAAAGAACTCACAGTATGTTGGCAGTAAATTTTTCATCCAAGAACAACAACTGGTACATTGCAATAGATTGTAAGTCAAATGATGGCACACCATTTAAATACCAACATATTGCCGATGTAGTGCACATTATACGAAACGGTCAAGCCACGGTTTTTTCTGTTCGAATTACATGAATAGTTTTTAGTAGCTAATTATATCGAGAAATTATAAAAGAAAAACAGAATACAAAAGAAAAGATCAAATAATTATTCTCGTTTTCTTTTTGGAAAGATTAGATGAATACGTCTAATAAGACACAGAGAAAATGTTGACATATTTCGTTTGAAATTTGTAACACATTTAGAGTTACTTTAACAATGTTTTATGCCAACAAACTATTGCTGTTAGTTGAAAACAAAAAGAGTTTTTTTTTTATTCATTCTATGTTTTCATTTCCTATGTTCTTAATCTAAATATTATTTACAAAAGAAAAAAATCTATAAGAATAAAAATATAATCATGTTTTGGATCTCAAATGAGTCGATTTTTTTTGAAAAATTTTACAGTACTATTTTTATCATTTCTTAAGTCATCGCAAGCACATAATGTAGTATGATTAGTACTTGTCAGCAAAGTCATGTCTATTGGAACAATTATAGAAATAGTTGCTGGATCTTTAGGAGTATTGGTTATTATCATTACTGATATCATTATTATCAGTATTATGTGCAAGAAAAAGAAACAACAACCATCCTATGGCACAGCTGCTGATTACAACCAACCCATCAACAGGAGTTATTATGCACCATATGACCAGTCTGCTGCATCTAATGTACCACCTTCTGTTTATCAACAAGAAGACATATTCATAGTTTCCAGTAAAAACTCAGAAGCCTATAAGTAAAAATGTAGTTTACAGTGACCCGTTTTTTAAATAAAAGAAAACATTCCGTTAAATATGTTATAAAGAAGAGCGCCGATTCTTTCACACTATTATTCATCGCCGATCTATGTAGGATATGCTTTTAGAAGAATAATCGACGAAATTTGTACTCTGGACACGAATAATTGTATATTTGATTTAGTAGAAATATCTTGAAGAACAATATATTTTTGTTTAATTTCTTAGGATTTATTCAACTACTAGTAGTTCTTATAAAAGAAAAAAAGGACGAATTAATTTTGTCAAAAATTATAATAAAAAAAATGTCTAATTTTTTAGAAATAAAAATAAATCTAAAATATGTATTGGTTATAATGTTTTTTATAGTATGAAGTAATTCTGATTACAATGGTAATTAATTGTTTTCTTTTGTTTTTTTTTCATTCTTGACTTAGCTTTTATATGATGTCTAGAATCAATAGTCTAAGAAAAAAAAGAACACTGAATATTTTATTTAACTTATTTTAATTTGCAATGAAAGAATTAAATAATTCAATTTGTATATCGTTAAAACTAAAAAGATTAAATGTATAGAGAAATTATCTTCGTTTTTTACGCAATGCCTCTCAAAATTTACTCGTCAATTATAACGTCATACAAATTTATTTATTTTATATAATGTTTTATAAGACACTATTAGTTAATAAACTAAGAATTAGATACTTCGCGTATTTATTTGCTAAACCGAATTATTAATTTTTACTGAAAGAAAAAATTTAATCGAATGTAAAGATAGATTTGATTAACTGATATTCTTGATTTTTGCTAGTATTTTTAAATAAGTTGTTCTTCGAGTTATTAAATTTATTATATATAACGCTCGTCTGTTTAGAGGATACTTATAAGTTCAAATTCTGACTTGTTAACAATAATATAGAAATTCAAATTGGATCATAAACAAAACAATTTTCAGTAAACTCGAACATGATAGAATTGTAATTCGATCAAATAATGATAAAAATTAATCGACACATTTTTACTCTAATCACATTTTCACACTACTTAGTGTGATTTTACACAAACAGCACTGCATAAGAGTGAAAGCACTGTGAGCAATGTGAGAATTTTCCTAGCAGTATGATTTTTATTAATTATGGAAGATTATGACATTCAGTATTATAATATTTCTATAATGAAATGTTTCATTATAAAATTACTGATAATCGATTTAGTTTTACTTTTCAACGAAGAAGATTCTAATATCTGTAAAAACATCTGACAGTACAAATAACTGAAGGTTGATAGAATCACAAATTGAAAAAAATAACAGAGCTAAATAAAAGATGAATAGCAGCAAATGTGAATTATCTATACTTAGAATTCAAAATAAANGTAATCCTGGTAGATACAAACGCAAATTCATTCAAAAATAACTCTTCTTACCCAGTTTTCCAAGTTAAACACGAATCTGAACTCAATTCCTGTGATTTCTAAAGATATTATATCACTCTGAGAGTAGAGTCAGTGGTCACCGGATAGGGTCGCATACAGTATGGTCCATGCTAACTTAGCACGCCTGTATTTTGTCCTTACAATTTAGTGATAAAAAACACAGTGAATATACCTTTTCACTTTTTGAAGTACACATAACACTCGGATTTAAATCCGAGGTTTTCGCATTTATTTTGGTAAAAGTTGATATCCTTTCATCTGACAAACGCTTGTCGATTTTTTCTTCTGCAAGATTAAAAACGTAGCTGAAGACAAACAGATTTATACAAAGGTTAGAACTAGTTTCAAATGATAGAGAAATTAAGGCTCTATTTATTGACAATAAGAACGACATTTTTTTGCATTGTAATCTTCACCCGACGCTTGGATACATAAATCAAAAGTCATTTTTGTCATACTAATTCTCCCGGGAGATTTTTTGGTTTATATCTATATCAAATCGTGAATAAAATTGATATGCGGAAATTTTTGTTTTTTCTCAGTGAAAATTTCTGTTAATCTAGTCAAAATTTGTTTCGCATAATGCTTTTGCCTGTAAAAGTTACTATAAACGTGCAGCGGCGATACAACATGTGCCACTGAATTCATCTCATCAGAATCTATTATGTTTTATATCGCAATTTTAGTTTATATTCAGTATTAATGATTTCTAGAAAAAATTTTTTCTGTTCTGTCTCAATATATAGTAACAAAATCAACGAGTCAAAACATTTTAATATGGAATTCTTTCTTTTTTTTCTACAAACAATGCAATGAGATTCCGGATCGTCTTTATATACTAAGAGTAATGAATACTTTACGTCTTTTAATTGAAAAATATGTGGTAATATTGATCATACAGGTATTCAATTGTTTTAATGACAATATATACGACGTAGATTGCTTAGTGCCTTTTTCAAAAGTTGGAAAAAACGCGTTATTGATTTTCTTTTCATTTAGCTATCAAATGGCTATGGTAATGTTTTAATAACGCTAGATAATAAATAGTTAAGTACATGAACAAGTGCAATAAATCAAATATTCTTACAAAGCAGTCAACTACTTGGATCACTTAATAGCTATCTTTTGAGAAGCTACATTTTTATAATCTTTTATTCAATTTAATCATATATCATGAATAAAATTTAAGAAACAAAGAATCATTTAATTTGCATGTTAGTAAAGCTTTGGACACATGAGAAGAATCTTTCTATTTTATAAGCTGCCTCTCCGTCTCTATAGAAAAGAAGACCTTCCTCGTATAAATGAAGTAGAAGATATCCTCTAAGAATCGATTTATTTATAATAGTTCCTGCAGCTTACTACTTTTTTAAAAAGTATTTATATTCACAATAATGTTTGAGTTCAATATGGACAATATTTTGCTTCAGTCATCATAGAAATGCGTCAGTTCTGAGTTAAAACAAAACAGCTAATAGAAAACAACAGTCTATTAAAAAATGTGGTTTTTTGTTGAAAATATATAATGAAGTCACTTCAACGCTCTTTCACAGTAAAACAAGGAAAAAAAAATGTTCCCATGGTCATTAAATCTAATTGAAGCAGTGCATATTCGCACGAGTCACATATGAACGAACCACTCTAAAATAGGAACATATTTCGTAGAATTCTGTTATGTATTAATTGAAAAGTATGTTCGGTTTTGCATTTTCTTCGAGAAATTCAGAAATGCTTTTATCACAAAAGAGCGCATTTATAAATGAAGAAAATATATTTTCGAGTATATACGTCGAGGCTTGCTTTATGAAGTATATATTCCGAGTCTAAGAACATATTTCTTTTTTGTAAAAGTGATGTAAAGGCACTTTTCGAAATACATATATAAGAAATTAGCTAAGTGGGTATTCAACTGTTTTTCTTTTGTTTTCAAATGTTTCTTATCAGACAATCATACTCATAGAAGTTAGCTTGTGACTAATAGCTATGCTAGTAGTACATTTCACTGTGAACGAATTCCATCTATATTACTCAAATCTTAACACAAACAATTGACTTAAATAAGTTCTACAAAAAAGAAAATTTAATAGTCCTCTTTTTAGTTTTTTTTCTGTCGCTCTTATTTCATGGTACACGTGTAGGATAGATGAAAAAAAACTCGTTTTCTAATGATGTATTAAGTAAAAATTAATTGAAACTAAGAATTATTGACAAGACTACCAAAAACTGTCACTTTTCTTGGGAAGTTAATAGAAGACTTTCATTGTAACTTATGAATGATAAAACAAAATAGAAGACTCCAAGTCTTCTAATGTATCGAAGACTTTATAAAAAATGTTATTTTTAAATGAAATATAAAATGTTCCGTCAAACGCATGAATAGGTCAATTAATCAAGTCTCCTTCATTTTTGTCGATCATAACATTGATTAAATTCATTCTAGTGTTCTGAATGTTTCTTTTGATATGCCAATAAAATTCAAAAGAAATATATACGCAGTAACAATACAAAGCTTATCCCACTTGTAATCTCGTTTTCCAAAAGTATTAGCGCAGGTGATGCATAAAGAATAAACTAATTTTATATTCTCTCTTTTGAAATTCTTGTGAGAAGGATCTACGGGGAATTAAATTTATTCTGATTTATTTTATTGTTTCTCAACTTACTAAGACACAAGTACCATTACTTCTTGTACCATCTTTAGACTGCTTTACTACTGTAAGTGTAGAAAAGTAAAACAGAATAAATTTCATATCTCGTCAACTGATGTCTTATGACGCTCGTAAAATAGCATTTCAAGACAAAACAGATTTTGTTTCATTATATCAAAAGAAATGACATTATAAGAACTCAATAAATTACTATTTCTCTTTTATGAACTCTTACTTGAAACCTTTTTTTCTTGGAATAGAATTGATTTAAATAAATTTCTTTTTATTCCTTATTTTAATTCAATTCATTCGTATCTACAACATAATAATCGTCTTATTTAATATTCGACTATGAATCTCAGTACTATTCTTTTAACATATTTTCCATCAAACATCATCTTACTATTCACACAATATTCTTCTTAAATAATACAATTGCTTACCTTGTTGACTAGTTAATGTCATTGTATTACCTGATAAAATATATATTGTATGCATCTATTGTGAATTTCTTGTATACATTTGAAGTTGCTAATCAATGAATTAATTTAGATGGATAGAAATTGTCTTGCTGATTTTTTTTTATTTGCGAATAATATTGATTATTTTTGTGTAGTTCTTTTTCATTACTCTTTCTACTTATGAAAATATGATTCTCTTTTTTCTCAGATAACTTCTATTTTTCTAGAGCAAAATCTTTTTGATCTGTCTTTTTTTTGTAATATCTTTTTCACTGCGAGCATCCCCTAAGTGCTTCAAAAAGAGAGAAAAAAAGTGGCTCGTTCTTTACTGTGTGTCGTTCATGATTTTAACATATTTGTTCATTCTCTTTTTGTCAATTACTATAAACGTGACATGACAGTTATAAACACTATTCTTCTCATGTGGCACAAAATTTCAACAGTGTTTTTTTTTTTAATGAATAATCAATATGCATAAACATCGTTTCGCGATAGAATCTTCGCTTGTTTACTTTTCTTCGTTCTATTCAATTACAAAGTGCATATTGAACGACTTTTTATGTTAAGTAGAAACCCCGAAGTAGTTCAAAATATCAATGTTTTTTTTTCAGATTACTGTGAATATTTGAATTGACAATGATTATTATATTGAATGAGTATTTTACTTATCTTTGTTTATCTTTTATTTAATATATATATACACATATATGCATAGTGAAGACAAAAATAGGAAAAAAAGCAAACAAACAAACAAATAGATGAATGTCAATTAATTTGCTATTTAGTTTCGTTGATTTTGATATTGTTGTAGTGAATGAAAATCCATAGGTACATTCGGTGGTTGCTGACCAGGAAGAGGAAAAAATGGTGGAACAGATGATGGAAATGTTTGAGGAGTTGTTGAATTAAACCAAACTTGTGATGTAACTGGTGGTGGTGGTAGAACTGTTTGAGGAATTGATGGTTGAAGACGTTTCATAAGTAGATTTTCAAATGGATTTGTTTGTTGAAGTTGATTAGATGGTTGCGAAGAATTTGTTGTTGCAGTTGTTGTTGTCGGTGATATTGTATTTGGATCTGTAAGTTGTCGTAATGTTTGTGTAAGCATTTCAAGACTTTTTTCAAAACCAGTTGATTGTGAATGTTGAATAAGTAAATCAGTTATTAAATTAACATCAATCATTGGTGTTTGCTAAAATAATATTTAATTAAAGTTTTCTTGTTTTTAATAATAACTAAATTTTACTTGTAATGTTGTTTTATTTTCCCCATTACCTAATGGAGATAAATTTGAATTATCTTTATTTGATCGTTCATCAGCATCATCAAAATATTGCTGAGATGATTGATGACGATGATGAACATGTTTACGATGATGACGAGGATCAGCACGTGTTGTTCGTACAACTATTTAAAAAAGAACAAAATATTGTAATTAATATTTTCAAAGAAGAAAAAGAAAAGATTTATTTACTTGCTGTTCGATCTGATGGAGATTTTGCTGTGATATAAACATAAATTTTAATTGTAATATAAAAATATATAATACTTACAATTATTTTCTTCATTATCAGATAAATCCATATCAGTTTGACGATAATCAGGAGGAGTATTTCCTACGTAGTAAAAGTTGAAATTATTATAGATGTCTTCAAATATTTTCATTAACTATTCCAATTATTTCACAAAACATTTCATATCACACTACCACCGATATTCCCGTGTAGTAGGCTACCGATTAGAGAACAACTATCGCTAGTATAGCACAGATTATACCGAACCGACTTTTTGTTTGGTTCGAATAGCATGAGAGTTATTATCATTTATTTTCTAAGAATCTTAATTACAATCATAAGTTTAACAAATTCAAAAAAGCCTTCAATTGAATTTATTTATTGTAATTGTTGAGGGTTTGGATTAAAATCTGACTTCTTTTCTGCAAGATTATGCTAGCATCATAGCACTTATTGTTTGAAATGGGAAAGAAAATTGTTATTCATTTTCTAATTAATAATAAAAGTATAAAGACAAAGTACTTAGACAACTTCCTATGAGATAAAATTACAGGACACAGTGGAAGTCTCTACATTGCATGATAAGAAAAAAATTTTAATTATGTAGTCAAAGAAAGACAAATGATGTATGCATCTTTATCACAAAATTGCAACCAAGAAAAATGTGTGTCACGATTTATAAGTCGAGCAGTTAAATTTCTTACTATAAACAAAGTATATTAAAAGTAATAAACGTCAATAGATAGTTCAACAAGAATTTCTTTTTAATATTCAGTGATAACATCAATAGTGACCTATATTTCTTCAATACTTCATGTGATAATAATAATAATATTTCGATGAAAACTATTCACTTTTATTTTAATTTAATGCTTAAAAAAAATTGCTTTCATATTAAACTGCAAAAATTATTTATGGAAAGTCATGTACTAATTTCAACAAATAGATTGACTTAACTTCTCTCAAATAAATTCATTGCTTTATTAATAATGAGCTTTATACTGTAATTGAAGAATTGTCATTGTTAACTCATCTGATTCATGACTAAAGAATAATGAAACATAAAACACTGTTTGATATATAAATATTTATCAAGAGATATTTTCTTCAATCTATCTATAGAGTATTATAATGTCAGCTACGCACATATAGAAGTGAATTGTTTTCTCTTGCAACAACCTTCAAAGCTTCTATGATACTTTTATTATGAAGAACTTACTTTGATCTTTTCTAAATGTACGTACAGTCGAATAGGTCGATCAAAATATATTTTTGACTGAAACTTAGTTTTTTTTGTCGTTGTGATCGGTTATAAGTACATCTAGATGAGACCAAACTGACTTGTTCATAATATAAGTCGAGTTGAGTTTTCGGGATTTTTGTAAGAGAAAAAAGTTCATATTTGTCAGCAAATCTTCAATCTCAGTATATGCCTAGTGTCAATGTTAGAGAACTACGGATCCGTGTCTGCAGCTTCCTACTTGCTTAATCTCATTTACATAAATACAACTAAAACTATTCGATTAACGCTGAAGACTTTTGCATTACTGTTGGTTTGCCGAATTTTGTTAATCAATTACCTGTTTTGCTAACACAATGCTCTTTTCAACTAAATCAGTCAAAATAAGTTGAAAACAAATAATATTTTTTTCTTATTTTGCAGTCAAAGTTTTCACTGAAATGTTTTTGTTCGATATTAAATATGATGCATTCAATGTAAATATTATATGAAATCTTAGCATTAGATACAATTAAATAAACGTATCGTTGATAAATACACATAAGAAAATGATATTCTTACCAGGTGATGGTACATTATCTGCCGATGGTGGTGATACAGTTTCAGGTAAGTCTCTTATTAAACTATCAAGTTTTTTCTTTAATGTTGCTACTTTATCACCAAAATTTTTGTATGCCTATTAAAAGTAACAATTCAAAAAGATTGTTTTACGAAAAGCTAAAATAATAATAAAACAAACTTCAACAACAATATTTGCATCTTGATATTGTGCATCATAAAAAATTTCAGCTTGTTTACAATGTTGTTTTATTGTTTTACGTTCATGTAAAAGACGTTCAAAATATCGAACATATTCTTGAAATTTTTCTCGACTATTTTCATATTCAATATAATATGCATCAGTTGATGTTTTATCTTAAATATAAAAAGAATATATTGTTATTCAGAATGAATTTATCTATTCTTTTTTTTTTTTTCTTACCTTTCAATTTTCGAACATTTTCAATTGACATTCCATCAATAAGTTTTAAATCATTATTTATCATTTGTTCTTTAACAAGTGTTTCTCCTTCAAGTTGTTTAAAACGTATTAATGATTCACATAATGATTTTGGCTAAATAGATAAAAAAAAAAATTTTTTTTTTAATTTTGTTTTATATATTAAAAAAAAAGCAATTATTTAATCTTACTTGAAATTCAGCAATAACACGAGTTACTTCTTTATCTTTTTCATAAACTTCAGTACCAACAAGCTTTTTTAATAATTCATCAATAAAATCTTNTTTTTACATTCAGTTAGATTTATGGTAGATTTTCTAGCGGACTCTACAAATTCCTAAACTAAATATAAAACTGCATTGAAAGCATTAGCGAACTCTACATCTTCATAAACTAAAATATAGAGATTACCTAGAAAACAAGAGCGAACTCTACATCTTCCTAAACTAAATAGAAAATTATATTGAAAGCACTAGCGAACTCTACATCTTCCCAAACCAAAATATAGAAATTGCATAGAAAACAAGAGCGAACTCTACATCTTCCTAAACTTTTTGCGATTCGAACTTGAAGGTAAAAATTGTTAAATATGAGTATTTATCAATTAAAACTTGAAATTTAAATTAATTAAGTTTTGTAGTTTTGGAAAAACATATAGTTTAATTTCTTAACTTTAATGTTGACGGGAGTTTAAAGTTTTAATAATATTTTAAAATTTTATTTGACTCATGATCGCAAATGAGAAGTAGCCCATAAATTACAACAAAATGTGATATCATTATGAACTCTTAACTGTCGACATTGAATATAAGTCATTTATTAAATAAACATCATTAATACTCATAAGTTTCATACGACAATGGAACGAAATCTATTTTTGTAAATATTAGCTCATGTTGTCTAATTAGATGAAATAAATTTGATTTTAATTTTTTTTTCTGTTAAAGATCAAATAATTCAGCTGTTCATTTTAATTCAATCTTGTATAGTATTCATCGAAAGATAAGAAAATATTGATCGAATTGGAGCATATCCAGAATTCAATAACTTGATTACTAGTACAGTAAAAATAAGAAAAGTATAGAACATTGTTTTCTAGAAAAAAAAAACCAGTATATATTATAAATATATTTTGGTTAGAAATAGGCAAAATCATCACATAGAATTGCAATATTTAATTATTAATCATGTTACGGATAACTTCCTTTTTTATTGCAATTCAAAATTTGTCCGAAACAAAAAGAAGTTCTTCTTATTTTTGATATAAAAAATGGTATTACTTGTTAAAAACACTACGATGAATGATCAATCCTTGGAAAAACAAGAGTAATGATTAATGTTTCATTACCAATGACATGCTAAAATATGGTGAACAAAACTCACTCTGCTTGTCTGGTGTTTAAAACTAGTTTTAATGCTGATAATTCTGTTATTTAATTCCTACGACCATGAAAACCTAATCTAAAAATTAAGTTTCTCTCGATCTTTTCTTTTTCTAAAATAATCTTACTTATTTATTCTGTTTATTGGGTGATCATCATGTGAAAGCAAATGTTGAAAAAACTTTGTAATAATTTACGATAAGGTCATATTTTGCACAATGATAATGATAAAATTGAATATCGATTGTTGTGCAGCTACCTGGATCAGTCTAAAATAAAGGATTTCATATCAAGAAAATGCTTTTTTCGAATAAATAAATAATTGTACTTAGGGTAAACCAAAAGTTTGTAGAACGGTTTTAAAGAACCTTGTCGGATAAGGTAATCTATTCAGAAATGGAAACCCAAATATACTATGTTGTAGAGCGTTTTAAGGCGCGTCGAATGGTATATAGTAAATGCTGTTTTCATAAGACTTTGAAGGAACTAGAGTCAATTTATTGATTGGCGACTACGCACCCACAGTCACACCCTCACCCAAATATGATAGGTTACTGAAGACTGTGGTCCTTGGGATTAGCCGAAAATATTTGTAAAGTATTTTTTCTCACATTCAGTTTTGTAGAGTTTTTGAGGGGCTACAACCTCATCTATGTAGCATTTCCGGTCATCTTGTCAATGTGGGTATGGGTGGGTTTGAGTGCATAATCGTCTATCAGTAAATTAACTCTAGTTCCTTCAAAGTCTTATGAAAACAGAATTTACTATATACCATTTGACGCATCTCAGAAAGCTCTACAACTTGGCATATTTGGTTTTGCATTTTTGAATAGGTTACCTTATCCGGCAAGGTCCTTTAAACACCGTTCTACGAACTTTTGGTTTACCCTAAGTAACATGAAAGAAAAAAAATCAATTCAATAATAAAAACATACTTGAATGTTGTGCATTCGTCTGTTATGTGCTTACAATTGACCATGCAAGAGAAAAGTACTTCGTTCGAGAGTGTATTCAAGTTTACATCGGTTTCATAGAAACGGCATGAAACTTTTAGAAATTGTAGGACTTATCTCTATAAGCATAGGTATGGGCTCAAAAAAAATTGGGAAACTTGCAAGGAGATGCAAAGAGGGAAGAATAGGTTGGGTAATCCAGTCAGCATGGATCTTGTCTAACTCTTTTGTCTAAAAGGACAGAAATCTAATAATTTTACCATAGACTCTGCTCATGAAGATAATCATTTTTTATAGCTCCTCTATCTAACATCGAAACTCTCAGGCCTGTAGCTTGTCATTGGGCCGAATGAAAAATCCATCTTTGGAACCCACTTTCGCACTTTTCACAAATTTGCATATCCTTCCTTCCCTTAGGAAAAACTACGAGGTTTCCAAAGTTTGTCATATAGTGGAACTTCATTAGTACACCTAGCACTATCATTTCTGAAATGTTTGTTTTTGCCTAGTGCGACTTGGCTGAGAAGCGCCACCTCGAAGTTATGCGGCAATGCCTGTGGAATTGTAGAAGCAAAGAAATAAATGATATACTTCGAAAAATCGATAATAATAATTCCAGGTTTGTCTTATTTTGAATTTTCTGTAGTTTGTTTTTGCTTTCAATCGGCTAGAATCTCTCTTTTCAAGACTTCTGATATATGTCAGGTAGGATTAAAAAGTACAGACTTTGTTAGCTTCATTTGCCACAATCTTGTAATTCGTTTTTCAATCATTCTATCACTGTTTATTAAAAAACATGGTTTTGTTTTTTCTAGATAGAATGTAAAACTGACTTTTTATTGTCATTTAACTCGTCATGCAGAAAAGAACTGATCAAGTCAGGCATCATCATGTCCTAGAGGAAACAGAAAAATTCCTACGGCAATAGCTGCTTATATGTCACAATACAATTCAAAATACGAAGATTTAAAGGGAATATTATTCTCTGAGACTATTACGGTGATGTCGCACGTTGACATAATCATTCTCTAATGTTATCCTCTATTCTATTTCACCTTCTTTTGATCTCTATTGGTATCTTCTCTTTTCGTTCTTCTTATACATATTATATATGTCATGTTAGTTTTTTCATTCCTTAGAAATAAAAGTTAGTGCATATACATCAGCACATATAACACCTTTATATACATATATAAATATACCTACGAAAGAATAGAGACGAAACTCTAACAGAGACAAATTATCGTTTTTATCGGTATCTCAAATATGAAACTGAATCTTATGAACAAGAATACTTGGATAAACGAACAAATATACACTCCGATGATGGTTATGATGATAACTTATATACATCGTTATTACCACTATTATTGACCACAAAAACACCATCGAAAAGATTCGAAAATGAACAGCATCTCGTTCATAATGATTCATCAACAACTAAATCTCATATGGGCTCAAACGCGACTAATAATTCTGAACATGCTAAGTTTATTCCAAGAATGAAAAAAAAAACGAATACAAAAAGCATTCAATAATATACTGAATTGCTCGAATATTTTGCCAATAAAATATTTGTAATTGATCGTTTCAATATTTTTCTAGAAACACCACAATGTACTTACATTAAGACGCAATGTCGATTCATTACGACAGAAAACAAAATCATTAATGCATAATTTGAATGTGATGGGTGAAAAGTTAACTGATTCAATTGATTTAAGATCTACATCTCACCATTCCAATCTCAGTAATGTCACATTGCATAGAGCTGATGAATTAATAAATGAGAAAATTTGAATTTCAAAAATGTAAAAATATAAATCATTTGTTGTATTATATTAGGTGGCATAAAGAGATTGTTTTTGAGCAATAATAATATAGAAACAATACGATTGGTGGTATTATGTTCAGAAAGATGAAGAAGACAAAAGATTGAAGAATTTTTTGGTACTACTAATTCACGGTCTGAATATTGTTCTGGAAATCAACCTATGGGTTACAACACAAATGAATGTGAGTTGAATTATTTTTTGTCTGATTCAATCAGTCGCATCTTATCAAACGCAAAGAATTGCGTTCTGATGCATAATATAGATGTAAGGGGTGATAGGAAACCTATACCAGTGCTATATATGATGATGACTAGTGACGAAGCTTATGAATAATTTATTCTTGACAACCCAACTAATGCTATTAGTTGACCGTAGTTCTACTCACTTCGTCCGAAAAACGTCAAGAACCTGAGTTCACATGATGCATGTGTATGCATTCAGCATGTGAATATCTGGTTTTTACTTGAAGTAAAATTAAGTATTTTTAAAGAAACCTTTCATTCATTGAAACTTGTAGGCTTAGTCGAAAAATGTTCGATCAATTATAACATATTTCGATAGAATTGCACATCATTCATCAACAGAATTTTGTCGAATTCATTTCGTCGGCTTTTTTTGGTCGATAAATAATTCGTCGAGCACGAATTGTGTCGATACTTTTTAGGTCGACAGGTATATCATCGACAACCCAGACTTCAACTCTGATATCAGTTTCTGAATGCACATTGACTATGAAAGAGGTTGTGTGAGGCTGGTTGTCTTATATTCTACGAGTGAGGACGCCAATGTAGGTTGGTATGACCTATTTTGAGTAGGCATGAGACAGTGGGACTAAACGTGAGTAACTCCGACTCGTGTGCCCAGACGACTGAAGAGTGCTGGGTACCTGAGAGCGCTTATAGACACCTGAGGGCAGTGGTAGGCATCAATGAGCGGAAATGGGTAGCCTTTTTTAGGCACTTGTGTGTATCAGTGCATATCAGTAGGATGCGCTGGGTGAATGAGGATGAGTACCCATGGCTACCTGCCGGGAGTATCGAGCAATCATGGACACTACTGCATACTGGCGTCCATCGGTGTCTACCCACACTAGCTCAGCAGTCCCAAGCAACATCCACCCTCAGATGCCCACTAATGTATACAGTTACCCACAGGTCGCCATCGCTGCGCAATCGTGTTCACGCATAAGTGAGAATAGCTCACACTTAGTCATGCTGACTTATACCTCGTCAGGATAGATCACGTCTACCTACAATGTCACTGTCTCCTGTACCAAATATTTTGTAGATGGCGTTGCATGCGTCAAAATTAATCTAGCACTCCCATTCACACTCACTGGTTTAGATCCTCAAGTAGGTTTCTTACTCTTGAACATCGATACTTCCTACATGAACCATATTCGATAAAATTTCATTTCGATCAAATAGTTGTCGACGAATGATATTAATAGTATTTCAATTTAATTAACTTTATTGTTTGTGACGAAGATAAGTTGTCGTATATTGTTGGTGGTTGTTCTAGATTGGGTAAGTAATCTTCAGCATCAAATACTTTCATTTTGCACAAGTAATCACCATTCTTGAAATTAGGAAATATTTTTCCGTCAACTATATTTACAAGATATTTTAATAGTAAAATCCATGATGCAGCAGAGTGTATGATATGGAAACGTACAGATAATATAGTTCATCTGATTAACAATTTTTTTTTCGTTGATTATATGAATGAATTTTTAGGTGGATATTCATTGAACAACGTCAACAGTTGAAAAGCTACTGAATGAAATAGATGATCGTTGGTCAGCATTTCTATAGACAATAGTTTTCAAAAACATCTCTCCGAACACACCATTTTTTCAAAACTTTTCCCGAACGCGTGTTCACGCATGCAGACAGATTCTACACTCCTGCTGGACATAGAATTGGATATTTAATTATTCTATGAACAAAACATCTGAACTAGTCTTTGAAAAGATCGGCTTTAATTATTAAAACATAGTGAGAGAAATCATGAGTAAGATTGATAAAAATCTCAGCTAGCGAGAATCAATAAATTGACAACAGAAGCATAGGAATATTTTATGTCTGTTTTTCTACTTATATTTTTCAAATCAGAAATTACAACTCGTAATTCCTTTGTTTTTGTATAAATGTACTCATTTCTAAAAGAATATATATCAATCTAAATCGTTACTATAATGTAGAGATAAAATCAATATGAGCATAATTGATTGCATGATGATAGTTGTGTAAGGAAAGAAGAAAAGATACACTGAATCAAAAATAATCGTCTAAGCTGAATAAGTAATCTGATTTGAGATATATTAACATGGAATGACAGTTTTATAGATTTTTATCAGTCAGGTATAGTGTACTTTTCTCTGATTTTTATACCATTTGGTGTTCATGGTTCTACATCATAGAAGATGATTCATTATTTACACGTGTTTCTTTCTTTTTCTGTTTCAGTACATAAGAGTTTATGGTGTTTATCAATCAAATGTAGTTTTTACTAAGAGAAAAACAAAAAGCTTTCATCGATAATTAAACATAAAGTTTGACTTGCTCTTTAAAATAAATGACGCTAATTATTTTGAGTGAATAGAAAGCTGAAATATCATGAGTTTCTAATTTTGTTATTTTGTCTAATTTATTCTTCTTTCTTTTTCTTCAATTCTACTTTGAAAGAAATATTTAAACGATAGTCTACAAAATGTTTAATAATATAATCAAAATTATATGATGTTGCATAAATACACAGTTTGAACTCAGAACGTCAAATAGATATTGTATCAAATGATTTTCTTTTTCAAGACGGCAAATCTTCATCAAAAAGAAAAGAAATCATAGTCTCTACTAGAATAAGATGTTAGAAGTGAACAATACAATGACAATAAAAAATAAACTCCTAATTATTTTCAAATTTCATGAATTTTTTGTTTTATAATGTTTGTTTTGTAGAACGTTTTTTTTCATGAAATATTAGACTGAGTAATATTTTATATATAATATACAATAAATAAAACGAACAAGGAAAAGAGCCTGCTTAATTATAATGAGCAAAACAAAAAAAAACAGAACAGTTTGTCTGACCATTACGTACATAGATACATAACAATAAGCAGCATTTATTTATTTGATCACTAGTAGTCTGTACATTTTACCAATCGCCTCCTCCAAAATCACCTCCTAAATAGAAAGATAGATATATATATATCAATCCTTAAATATACAATCAACTTACCGCCAAAGTCTCCACCACCGAAATCACCACCACCATAATCTCCGCCGCCAAAATCGTCACCACCACCAAAGTCTATAAAATACAAATGAAAAAATTGAATTATAAATTAATTTTTCTTACCAGCACCACCAGCATAATCATCTGATCCACCTCCTCCATAGTCAAAATTTCCACCGTCATTATTTGTATCATATTGAAAACTATCCGTTTGTTGTTGACTTGTATCATAATTATTTGTGCCATTATTTGTTGTATCTTGATTATAATTATTTGTTGTATCATTATCATAACTATTAAAGAAAGGAATAGATCATTACAATTAAAAGAAATATAAATGTTAGACATACTAGTTATTGATAGTGGTCGTGTCATTACCTCCACCCCATCCGCTGAAATGAAAAAATTATTTCTTTTTATAAAAAAAATCACTAATGTTTCGAATGCAATTAATATATAGAAATATCTTTAAACTTACCCGTAACCACCATAAGATCCAGCCGGTCCCATTCCATAACCCCAACCTCCATGGCCACCAAATCCACCTCCCCATGCATATCCAAGAGCACCTAAGAATAAAACAAGTTCAACACTTCTATCTGAGCGTAATTTTTTTAGAGATCTTACCACCAAGTAATGCTCCACCAGCTAGACCTAATCCTACTCCAGCTAGTGAGCTTCCTCCACCGCCTCCTCCATATCCACCATAACCTCCTCCTCCGCCACCACCATAGGTGGGCGAAGGTTGAACGACTACCGTTGTATGAGGATAGTTTGGTTGTTGACTATTTGGTGCACCTGTACCTCCATATGGTGAACGATACGATTGTTGTGGTTGATTACCTTGCAATTGTGGATACATCGGACGTTGTTGTTGTTGTGGAGGATAGGGACTTGAAGATGAATAGGCTAGGAACAGAAGAATCATTTCAATATTTATAAAGAAAAATATCTAGATAAAATTATATACATACGTGGTGGAGGACCAGATGGCGGAGCAGATGGTTGAACAGCTTGACCATATTGCTGAGAAGGTGGTGGCAAAGGTTGTTGAGGTGGAGGTGGTAACTAAATAAGAAAAAATATTGAAAACATTTATCAATATTTAATAGCATCAGTTTACTGTAGAAACGATTGCTTTCATCCAATCACTAAAAATTGACAGATTGAAAAAAATCAACAAATTGCATTTTTTTAAAAATTTTCTTACTTGAGATGAGTAACATCATTACAAAGAATCCATATAATATCTGGACTATGATGTCCGGATGACGATCGTGGTAAAGCAATAAGATTAGCTTCATCAGTTGGTCGAGGAAATGGTGGTCGATTTGGTAAACATCTTGTATATGGTCCAACACAAAGATTTTGTGCTATATCACGAACACGTACTGATCCTTCTGGTTTACGATCACTTTGTTTTTCATACCATTGTAATGTTGAATCATCAAAAAGTACAAAATAAAAGTCTTTCCATTTTTTTGATAATAAACCCTCTATGCAAACAAGAAAATAAGCAAACGATGTCGATTAAAATCTAACTAAATAAACTTACTATAATAATAACGAAGATAACCAGTCTTTATATGATGCGACATAATTTATTTTTTACTCTAAAATTCGATTGTTCAAATATTTATATATAAATATATGTAAAAGAATTTACATCTGACACTCAACTTGAATGATTATGACTCAAACGACAACGAATCATTCCTCTAGCACATGAGGTCCTTTTCTTTGCTCTACTAACGGGTAGGTGCACTATTCTGTCTGTTTATTGAAACCGTAAGATGCCGATTTTTTATTATTATTATTCATGGCTATGACGCCAAGAGAAAAAAACAGAAAAGAAAAGAAAAAAAAGTTTTGCGTTCGCCCGTTTGTTTCTTTTAGCAACAGACGAGTTTTCTATCAGAGAGAAAATAAAGAGTAGATAAACACATTCTGGAGGAATAGAGAAAGAGATATCATCATCATTCTTCTTTTTTATGTGCCTTCGCACAATAAAGACCTAGTAAAATAACCATCAGATGGCGCTCAAACAATGGCTTAAAAAAAAGATCACTCTAGTAAATACCTTATATTGCTTGATTTACATATCAGACGAAGGAAAAAAAGAGCATGACTGAATGTTTATATGAATATTTATGCTTTTCAAGTGCCGTATTCACTGAACAAAGTACATCATTACTTGTTTTAATTGTATAATCTTCAATTTTCACATAGACAATATACAGTGTGTCCTACACTCCTAGGACATACGCATAAATTTGTGTATAAGTCATTGTTTTCTTTTTAAGAAGTTATGTTGTTGATGTGTCGACTATATGCTTACACAGACAGACATAGTTCTCTAGTATCTCTTCCGACTATCCATCTCTTTAATCTAGTACTGTGTGTGTGAAAAATCTGATAAGAACGAAAAAATTACTGTCCCAAAATAATGGGACATCTCATCAAATGACCAAGATGAATAAGCACAGATATTTTTCTACGAATTTTTAACTTTCAAGTATTATATATATATCTTTGTTATGATAATATGTAGTATCTTACTCTCACTTTATACAACAGTTTTCAGGTATGGCATGTTAGATGACTTACTTTGTAATGGAAATATATAGGAACTCTTTGTCAATTATGAATATATTAAATTTTAAACAATCTGCGAAAGTATCAGCTCACAATCTTAACAGACACTTGAGATATAGGCCATCTATCAAGTACATAGTTCAATATATGGAATCTTCTTAACATAGTATTTTGCAGGTATTTTGAGACTAAGATGATAGCTATTCATAACTTCTCTATCATAGCTAGTCTTCAATGAGACCTTCAAAATGGTATAAGATATACTTGGTACATTAATCGAACGTAATATCAAAATAATCAAAGCCTTCCAGTTATGAATTCTGTGTGAACCATATTTCATATATAGAATAATATCTGTTCTTGATTTTTTTTACTATAATCAGATCTTCATGAGACGTTCAAAATGACATACGATAATTGGGTATATCAAGTTGGTCCATCGAAAGATACTCAACACATTGACTGGGTCAAGTAGTATTTATGTTTCGTGAGACCTATGCATCTTGTATTAATTAACTCGGTAAACTTATCGCTTTCTACTATCTTCTCCCATTTTGGAGGTCTCATTGAGGATTAGCTATGATAGAAAAGTCACGAACAGCCATCATCTTAGTCTCGAAATATCTGTAAAATACTATGTCAAGAGAATTCCATATATTATGAACTATGTGCTTGATAGATGACCTATAGTCCTAGTATCTGTTAAGATTGTGAGCTGATATTTTCGCAGATTGTTTAGAATTTAACGTATTCATAATTGACATAGAGTCTCTATATATTTTCATTGCAAAATAAGTCGCCTAACATGTCATGACTGAAAACTGTTGTATAAAGTGAGAGCAAGATACTGCACGTTATAATAACAAAAACATATCTAAAATATGAATAAAGCGATATCGAAATTTTCACCATAGTGAACTTCGGTGTCTTGTACCAAATACTTGAAAGCTAATAATTCGTAGGACAACATTTGCTTTTATTGATCTGGATCACTTGATGGGATGTTCTATTATTTTGAGACAATAACTTTTTCGTTCTAATCAGATTTTCTACAGATAGACTATTAGATAAAGAAGATGGATAATAGAAAGACATACTAGAAAGCTACGTCTGTATAAGCATCTAATCAACAAATCCACAACATAACTTCTTGAAAAGAAAACAATGGCTTATTCACCAATTTAAGTGGGTATCATATAGTTTTTGATCATCATGTAATTATAGATGCAATATTTCAAATATTCATGTACACATTAATATCTTATTTGGATAAAAAACAAAACAAATAAACAAAGAGAAAAAGATAAACTGAAAAAGAAACGACATTAGCAAAAAGAAAAAACGTGAGTGCCACTGCTGGATACGAATGAAAAAAAAGCCCAATGGAAAAAAAAGAAAAATACGGCAATATTTTTGTCTATCATTCGTTCACTGTAAAAGTAAGAAAAAAAAACATTTAGACCGAATTCATTCATTTCAATATTCCATCTCGTCTTAATTTTAAACAAGCAAGTACAACTTGACATTGATACATTGAACCTTGTAATTCTGATGACATTTGATCAAGATCTGTTTGTACATTATTTCCAATAGCATTTAAACGTTGATTACTACCAGAAAAATAATTTGTTACAATTAATTTTGATGGTCTCATTAATGTTGGCCCAAAAACTACAGCTAAATTATCCAAATGCATCATATTTATATTCGAATATTGACTAACACGAATTAAATGATCTAATAAATAAAATAAAATTTTTCGATTATCAGGATGTAATGATTCAAGTGTTTTTAATAATATAATATGTTGATTATCAATATCAGTTAATTGTATAGCATTTAAAAATTCTGTATAAAGTGCACTTGTAAATAATGGTTCAGGTAATTCACGAAAAAATAATTTTAATAAATTAGCTGCAACATGCACATTTTTTTCGGCTAACATTTCTTCACCACGATGATAATTGCGATCAAATTGATGGCGAAGTTTTTGTAAATCTGATGTTACACAACAAACACGATAGATGCCTGTTTCTTTTAAACCTTCATTATCAACCATTTCAATACATTTTAATATTATACGAGGAATACCATCGATACTAAACGAAAAGAAAAAAAAAACAAAAGAAAATTTATTCGATTTTTTTCGCTCGAATATTTATTCATACCATCCATTTGGTGTACTTAATAATTTTTCAATACTTTTTCCAAATACAGCAAGACTTCGTTTTGATCCTTGTCTTTTGAATGTACCTTCACGTTTTGAATATTTTAATGAAATTTTTAATTTTAAATCATTCGATGGTGATTCAATTGTTAATATTCCATTGAGATCACGTTCACAATCATGCAATGCAGTTTCAATCTTAAATGTTAAAAATCTATTGTTTTTGCGAAAAAAAGAATTCTTTTTTTTGGTCAAACATACATTTCGATGAAATTTACCAATACATTGTGCACGTTGTGCATTGTTGTTATTAGTATTAGTTTTTGTTGTAGTATCAACACGATAAATAAGTAAACGAAATGCAAGTGAATATTCTAATTCAACTTGAAATACCTAAAAACAAAAAGAAAGAATATATAAATTTGATTTATTTATTTTAATTTTTAACAAATATCCACTGAAAGAAAAATTTATTCAGAAATATCACAAAAGAATATGATTATGTCATTGGCATTTCTATGTGATAGAATTTCGTTGGGACCAATGATGAATAAAATCTATAGATAAGAGTTTATTTTTTTTTTAGAATTATTCAAATTTAATGTTGAATGATTAACAAGATTGAATGTCAAAAACTAGGATAATAGATTGAAGATTACATATTATCGATCCTATGCAAAACTTTTAACTGTTAAATATTAAAATAAAGTCTACCATTGTCGATGTTATTTTCATCGAGTTCAACAAATTTATGTGTTCAATTCATGAGACGGTATGTAACCCTTGAAAACGGTCTTGTTAATATAAAAACATGGATACAATGGCTTAGATCTAGAGCAATCATGAAGATTGGTATATCTTCTCAAACTTGACATCTAATCTGATGTGGGAAGTCTCACAACTGATTAATCGCTTTTGTATCTATACGATGTGCATCATGTAGATTCGAATGAGCTATGAAACCCCCTTCAGAAACATTACGAAAACTGATTTTCAAATTTTAATTGCGCAGAAACAAACCTTAATGAAAATAGTTTCTTATGACAGTTTTAAATCTTTTCGTTGTTTCTATCTTGAGTTACAGCTATGATAAAAACATGTCTTTAACATTGCTTATATACATACATCAATAGATTCAATGTTCTTATTTTAGGATAGAAGCAAATCACAAGATCTAAAACTTCCATAATAAACTTTTCTTCCGAATGTTTGTCTTTGTGCAAAGTTTCAAATCGAAATTTGACAATCAATATTTCTGACGGAGACTACAAACTTCATTAAAAGAGATACCGTAAAATTGCCGTATCTCCGTAGCACTAAGCCGCTGACCCGAACTCTTTTCAAGGTATTCATAGCTCATTAGAATCTACATGATGTACATCGTCTCAGCTCAAAGGCGATTAATCAGTTGAACGACTTTCTTCGTGAGACTAATAATTACATCAAATTTCCAAAGCGAGAATATGTTCAATTACATCAAGATTTTAATAGATCTCGTCTATTTTTTTTTTTCATTTATTTATTCATTTCGAAATGCGAACAAATGATGCATAAGTTCTTGAAAACAAATTAATGTCTAGATCTCGATTATATGTCGGCGTTAGATGTGCGTAAGATGTTTCCGGTTCCATCGAGATCGGAACTAACGCTTTCTCTTTGGAAGCGATATTTTTTTTGATCGTGTAAAACTTGCATCGAATGTCATATTATCACAATTCATATGTTCTAAATAGATATGAACAAGATGGTTCCGGTCCTAGCGAAATCGGGATAGAGTCGGAATCAATTGTTCTTTCTAGACCGGAACTAAAGATGACTCGTCCTGCTCATATGTAG